CTCCTTGGACTTCTGAAACTGCTGCAGCACCTCGGCCGCCTGGGGGAACCAGGGAGAAACGGGGTGAGCCAGGGCCCTCAGCCCCTCCCACCTGCAGCTGCCTTCCCTCACTGATCATGGGGCCCAAAGCACCTCCCGCATCCACCCCTCCCCCACACAGATGCCGAGGGGACCCCAGACCAGCAAGAGCCTCCACGCTACCCTCACATCCCGTCAGCCAAGGGCGAGCCCGGATCACAAACCCGCACCACCCGACGCCATCGGTACTTCCCCTCCCAAGGGCGTCCGCGGGCTGTGTGTGAAGCTCAGAGCCACGGCCAGAAACAGAACCCAGGAGTCCTGGCTCCCAATCCCAATTAATGCTATTAAGCCAATTCACCATGATCCCTTTCCCTGGCACCAGCTGGTATTTCTCCACCATCTCCTGCTGGTCGTCCAGGAAGTGCTGGTAGCCCCCGGGCACCGAGTAGCTCCCCCCGTGGACTCGCTTCTCCAGCTCCTGCGACAGCTCCCTCAGCACAGCCATGCACCGGTCCGACGACGCCAGCTTGTTCCGGCAGCAGAGCTCAGCGCGCTTGGTGTCCATCTTGTCCTGCAGAGAGAGGGGAGTTCGGAGCTGGCGCCCCCTGGAGGGGAAAGGCCTCGTGCCCCATTCCCTGCCCCAGAGAGCCAGCCAGTGCCCCGACCTGGAGCCGGCACCCCCTGGAGGCCCCGTGCCCCATTCTCCACTCCACAGAGCCAGCCAGAATCCCGCCTTGGGGCCGGAGCGGGGCCAGCGCCCCATGGAGGGGAAATGCCCCGTGCCCCATTCCCCTATGGGTCATTCCAGACTGGGGCAGGGGGGGTTGTGCCCCCAGCGCAGGGTCCCTGGTACCTTCAGCTGCCGCTGGTATTGCTGCTCGTCATCCTTGAAGGCGCGCGCCATGAACGCCCGCAGCGCCTCCCGCTCGCACTGGGCGTGCAGCTCCAGCAGCTCCTGCACGGTCTCCGTGGGCAGCGCCACCTTCTGCCCCAGCAGCTCCTCGTAGACAGCCACGGCCTCCCCCACCGCCGCCGAGTTCTCGATCTGCGCCAGGGCCTGCACTGCGCTCTCCACGCAGGGCACCGCCCCGCTGCGAATGGCATCCACGTAGCTCACCGCCAGGTTCCCCA